TCCACGGCATGTGGGATCTTCCCAGACCAGAGCTCGAACCCATGTCCCCTGCATTAGCAGGCAGATTCTCAACCACTGCGCCACCAGGGAAGCCCAAGCCCTGGTATCTTATACTCGCAATAATAACCTTCCTATAAATTCAGCCCCTGAGAAATGGCAGTGTACTAAGAGGATGCCTCTCCTTGAAGATTCAAAGTTTAAACTATTTCCAAATCATGAACAGTGCTACACAGGTACATGTGGGGTGCACCATGTGAAGTTTAGTCCATTTGTGACTTAAAAGAGTGATATTTCGTATGGTTCGGCCTGATATTTACCTCTGCAGGCTGATGAAATAGTTTAGGCAAAACACCACCATGACCATAAATCCTAGCTTAAGTATAGCCCCACTGCACCCTCCTCAAAATCTTAGAATGTTGGTTTCCTTTGAGAAAGTCATGTTGAGGGATTTAAGCCAATTCAGATGACTTGGGGGAGAAAATAATTTATCTCTAGTCCTCTAGGATGCACGCAGATTTCAAGCCAACCACCAAAGGTGTTCAAGGCTTAACGAAATTTGGAGGGAGAGACATCTTAGGGTGAGAAACGTGAAAAGAAATGGTTTATAATATCCTGTAAATGTGGAGAAGCAGAGTGGATATCATGTCACTCAACCCCCTTATTTTATCATAGAGGTTGAAGGGCTTGCTCGAGGTCAGGGTCAGTGGTTTGGGGCCCAACTGGAGCCTGACCCTTGTATGTATTGAACCAACTCTCTTTTCTGAACCAATATTCATCACAGATGGAAAGAGTCTGGGACTTGTGGATTAAAACCATTTCGTAAGAAATAGAAAAATATTTAACACAAGTTACAAGAATTTGATTTCCCAGGTATCAAAATAATAATCCAAAAGAAAAAGATGTGGAAAAAACTCACCAAGAAACAAGGACATTTTAGAATGAGTCATTTAGAGGAGATTGCTATGGCAGAGCTGAGTGGCATCAAGAACAGAAAGAACTGATCTTGGGCTCAGGGAATTTAAAGAAAAAATAAGAGTATGTTTCAATAATGTTGGGGGGGGGTGATGGTGGTATTTTACTTAAATTATCCAACCTGTTTATCTATATAGCTGAGAAATTTTCACTTCTGTGAGTTATTCTGTCAGTCATCTGTATTGAGCCCCTGCTGTATACCAAGCACTCTTCCAGATATTTGAGATCTATCAGTTAAGTAAACAGACAAAAATCCCTGCCCTAAATGAGCATGTGTTCTAATTAGAGAGGCAGCAAACAATAAATATAATAAACTTGTGGACTGTATGGTGACTTAGAAAGTGATACATGCCAGGGAGATAGAAAAAGGTAAGGATAAGGGCTTCCCTGGTGGCGCAGTGGTTGAGAGTCCGCCTGCCGATGCAGGGGACGCGGGTTCGTGCCCCGGTCCGGGAAGATCCCGCATTCCGCGGAGCGGCTGGGCCCATGAGCCATGGCCGCTGAGCCTGCGCGTCCGGAGCCTGTGCTCCGCAACGGGAGAGGCCACAACAATGAGAGGCCCGCGTACCGCAAAAAAAATTTAAAAAAAGAAAAAGATAAGGATAAGAAGAAGCAGGAGTAGCGGGGTGGGAGCTTTCGGTACAGTAGTCTGCATAGGTCTCATGGAGAGGGTGGATTTGAACAAAGGCTTGAAGGAAATGAAGGAGTTACTCAAGTGGCTCTTTAGGGGAAGATTTTTCCCGGACTAGACAAGTCGTGAAGGGAGAGGCATGCGTGGCAGGTGTGTGCTCCACCACGTGCTCTGTAGAGCTGGTGTGGTACCTGGTCCTGGAGCATGGCTAAGTCCTTTTACATAGAATAGGAAGCCTCAATCCGTCCAATTTGCCCATGTCATGCTATGCCATGGACAACAAGACCAGTAGATCACGGAATGGACCATCTGGAATCGGTGACACTTCAGTTCTGACCGAAGTATGCCTGTAGTTGTATGAATCACAACCGTATGCCTTTATATTTGCTCTTCAGGACTTCTGGTGGCCATGACCTTGTCTCATGTGACAACAAGTAGACAGGACTAAATTCAGTTTAGCATTTTAATGACTGAATTAGATGAACCACAGATAATCCATTCATCAGCTTAGGCATCAGCTATCAGAATGGTGGTCTATCATAACAGGCAAAGCACACGATTAGAGTAAGATTACCGGGCATCTGTTACTAGCTCATGCTAACTTACTGACACTGAATAAATCACTCAATTCCTTTAGGCCTCCATTTTCATATCGACCAAATCAAGATATCACCTTTTACCCAGTCTATTTCCCAAGGTTGTAATAAAATTTAAGATAATATGTGCAAAAGTATGGTGGAAGTTATAATGCACGAGGCAATGTTACTTACCCACTTCTGTGTCCTCAGAGCCCAGTATAGTGTTTGGCATTCCATAAATGTCTGCTGAATGAATGAAAGAATGAGTGAAATTTACAGTGTGATGGCAACTAAAGGAAAAGAAAATCATCCTACTAACACGACATATGTCTATACAATCAAAGGTATTAGGGAGTATTCAGGACAACTACCTATATAAATCAAGCCAAATAAAATATTACTTAGACTTTTACTTGAAGACTTTTTAAAGAGATTATTTCAAACCATGATATTAAACTACAGGCTACTCTCAGTTTAGCTTGTTAAGTCCTTTGATTCAGAAAAGTGGAAGCTATTCTTACCCAAAGCAGAGAAAGGAGAAGGGCAAAGAAAAAAAAGAATTCAACATTGCTCAGCAGACGGGTACAAGAAACAGCTTTAAAAAAAAAAAAAAAACAGAAGAAGGTGGGTTTCTTTTTAGTAATTTCTATATCTGGAACATAAACAACTATCGAATTGTTTCAATGTTGACATAAGATATGAAGGAGAGAAGAAACTATATTGTGCTCTGGCCAAGATGTTTCAGGTGCCAAGAATTCTACCCAATTAGTACACAAAAAGAATATCGAGGAGAATCAACAGCAAGCTATTCCTATAATAAAACTGGATTCCACTGAAAATGCCTACTCAGCATAAAATCCACAAGCTAGGATAGAAAAATACATCTCTTCTCCTGGGAGACTACCTTTAATGCTACTTGAAATTATGAATTGAGATTCTGAAAGTCTGTTTTGTTAGTTCTGTTTGTTCCACCTTGGCCTGAATTTAAATTTTATCAAGGACCACATTTCCAGCTAGTTCTCTCTGATTTTGAAACCGTGGGTAATCATTAGTTAAATCCATTTCACCTGTTATCTGCCTTCACTAATCAAGGTCGTTTTAATTGTTGCTGCAAAATACTCACAAGTCCTCCAAGCTGCATGTAGCGTAAAGGATAAGATGTTTGCCTGAGTCGTCTTCAGGAGCTTGAAGTCAGCTGCGTCTAGTTCGAGCTGAGCTGGTAAAGACCTGTTAAGACCACCGACCCTCCAACTGGGCATGCGCGAGTGTCCGCCCAGTGACCTTTCGAACTTGCGGAGGCCTGTAGCCTAGTTACACCTGCGCAGAATGTCAATTACCACTCCTTTTCCAATCACTTTCCCCACGCTCCCCACGCCTCAGACAGTCCTGCTTCTTTGTTAGTTGTTCCGTAGATATCCCGGAGCCGCTTGCCTTCGCGGAGGTGGATTTGAAGTTTGTTCTCCAGTTTCTTCGTTTGATTGCCTTGCGAGTAAGCCCTCTCTTCGCTGCAAACCTCAGCGTTAGCGTTTTTTGGCTTGCAGTGCAGCGAGCAAGACGAACCTGGTTCGGTAACGATTTCTCATGCTGAAAGTTTTCAGGGATGTAGTATTGTTTTCCCTTTTCTAAGTTTTTACTTCCCAAGGCACCATCTTCATTTGGAAAAATTCTACGAGTTCTTGGATTTGTTGAACCTACGTGAAGCAACTTTTTCAATTTTCTAGACAGCTGCTCAAGAGAGACCAACAGGTAGCTGCTGTTCCGAGCTCTCTTTCTTCCTTAGTCTAGCAAAAATTGCAGGGAGAATGAAAAATAAATCTTGACCAGAAAACTCACCTTAGATATCAATTTCTGGCCTTTTTTATTCCCCTGCAAAGCAAAAGATACAATTGATTCTCCAGTAAACAGTTAGGTTTGTTCTACTTCAGAAGCATAAGCTTTGACCCGTTGGCCGTCTCACAAGGTCCAGAAATATCTTGTTCAAGATTCAAGATCCAAAGCAGTTCCTGGAGATGATGCTTCGGCATCAACCAGTGGCTTCACACTGCCTGGGTTCAAGTCCCCGCTCCACCACTTACTAGCCTTGTGACCTTGGACAAGTGAGTAAACCTCTGTCTGCCTCTGTCTCATACTGCAAAATGGGGATAGTATATGATACTAATACCTCTGTCCTAGGCTTGCGGTGAAGATTGAGTTAAAAGTTTAGAATGTCTGGCATGTGTGAAAGGTATGTGTGTGTTTGTGATGGTGATGATGAGGACGCTAGTGTTGGTGATGGCGAGTTCTCCCTCCTTGGTGGTGGTTCTCCCTCCTTGGAATGATGGTCAGGGCACACGTGAAATGCTTTGTTAGTCCAAGTGACCAAGGACTAAAGTCTCGGTATCTGGCATGATGTAGAGAAAGGACCACTGACAACTCAGAATGCTATAGCCATAGGGGATGCACAATGGTATTACCCAGGAAGTGTCCCAGCCCCTCTTTTGCCTTTTCCAATATGGGAAAAGTCTCCACATTCCAATCAGGAAATTAATCCTCTCACCCTAGAGGAAACTCTCACCTCTCATGTTGTCACCGCTGAGGACAGATCGCGGGGGCAAAGGAGGTGAGTACTAGTCGAGGGGGACATAAGGAGGAAGCAATGAGAGAGCAGGAGGGCAGCCCTGGGCAGGAGAAAGCCATTCCCAGGTCTTAAGTGCAGCGTAATAGGGGATACTGGAGAGAACAAACTACCTGTGTAGTATTGTTGATTTAAAATCCTCGTCTGGCTTCAGCGGTGCCCTGGCGGAGCGGACGGGCCATCCCGTCAGAGATACGTGTAACAGCCGTCTTACTGTGACCTAGGAAAGTCTGCCGAGGATGTCTTCAGCAAAGGATATGGGTTTAGCATGGTCAAAATAGATCTATGTAGTGGAGTGGAATTTTCTACTTCTGGTCATGCTTACACTGTTACAGGGAAAGCATTAGGCAACCTAGAAGCCAAATACGAGATTTGTAACTATGGGCTGACCTTCACCCCAAAGTAGAACACAGACAGTACTTTTGGGACAGAAATCTCTTTGGAGAATAAATTGAAACTCAACTCAAGTTCATTCAACTCAAGGCATAAGTTCACCTCAAGGGTTGAAACTGACTCTCGATACCATATTTGTCCCGAACACAGGAAAGAAGAGTGGGAAATTGAAGGCCTCCTATAAACAGGATTGTCTCAGTCCTGGCAATAATGTTGATATAGATTTTTCTGGACAAACCATCTATGGCTGGGCTGTGTTGGCCTTTGAAGGTTGGCTTGCTGGCTATCAGATGAGTTTAGACACAGCCAAATCGAAACTGTCACAGAATAATTTCACCCTGGGTTACAGGGCCGCAGACTACCAGCTGCATACTCACATGAACGATGGCATTGAATTTGGAGGGTGGATATACCAGAAGGTGAACAAGAAGATTGAAACATCAATAAACCTCGCGTGGACGGCAGGCAGGAACAACACACGTTTCGGCATCGCTGCTAAGTACAAGCCGGATTGTAGAACTTCTCTATCTGCTAAAGTAAATAATGCCAGCCTGATTGGACTGGGTTGTACTCAGGCCCTTCAACCAGGAGTGAAACTGACCCTGTCAGCTCTCATCCATGGAAAGAACTTCAGTGCAGGAGGACACAAGGTCGGGCTGGGATTTGAACTAGAAGCTTAACGTGGTTTTGAATAAAGCATCAGCTTTGTCCCTGGAGGTGGAAAGAAATGAATCCACTATGTTTTGGCCTTAAAATTCTTCTGTGAAATTTCAAAAGTGTGAACTTTTTACTCTTCCAAAGAACTGTAATCCTCCCCACACTGAAGCCCAGATATCGAGTCCATCCTAAGGGAGGTGCTTGAAGGCATGCCCGGAAGTTGTCATGTTCGTGCCACGTTTCAGTTCAGTCCCGCAGTGTTATTTTCAGTGTGTTGCTCGGCGACGGTGTAGTGTCATGTTACAAAGGAGATGACCTGACCCTCCAGTTGTCCACACGTCCTGCACCACTTTTTCATGACCTTGTAATATATTGGTCTCTGTGCGATAGTGGAATCTTTGGTTTTGCATCAGAGTAAAATAAACCCAACACATTTGGAAAAAAAAAAAAAATCCTTGTCTGAAAACAACTTTGAATGGTTAAGAGACAAACTATAACAATCAGCAAAAAGGAATATGGACCACAGTAGAGAAAATGACATCCCACCCCGTGAGGGACACACAGATCAGCAGAACTGTGTCAACCCGGGACAGAGGAAATCCAGAGCTACCTCACAGCTACACTGGGCTAAGGATGTAGATTTGTGTAGCTGTTGTCTATGACATTAGCATATTCTAATAATAATACTAAGAATGGTTGAGCACCCACTATGTGCTAGGCACCATTTTAAGCACTTGTTCATTGCAGGGAGGCGGTGGTAGGGATTTGAAATAACTTGAAGAACCTCTGTTCATAGCAATCGAATGAGCCTCACAGAAATAAAACTATTCAATTCCTAAACAAATCCACGTATTTAGAAATGTTTCTAATGCAACTAGTAGATAAAGTCTATGAACAGGTCCTGAACTTCAGAATCCCCACGGCCCCTGGCAAGCAAACTTCTACATCCTCGTAATTTAAAAATGCAACATTCAACCTGCTAAAATCTAGGATAGTATTTCCCTAGGCAAGAGCAATAGAACATAGATCTGGAGGTGCTAAGGTTAGTTTGCAAAGAGAAAACATCTCTTGGTCTAAAAGTTCTGGAAAATACTGCCTTAAGCAAAGTTGAACTGTTTTTGTTTGGTTTTGTTACCTTATGTTTTACTGAGGGATGTCTCAGAACCTTTAATGAGCTAATCAGCATGGTCAATCCCTAAGAAAGGGACGGCAGAGGCAGGGTTTTCCAAATTATCTGATAGAATTCTTTCCCAGCACCCCCTGCAGCATCTTCCACAACTATTTAGGAAATGTAAGTATGGTTCATTCTCCCCCCTCCAGGAATCTAACCCATTCCAAGACCCAGACACTTATCCATGTTCTTCAGAGAGAAAACAATCAGAAAAAAGCTTCCAATTTCTCTCCTTCACGTATTGGTTAAGGTAACACAGCTGCTATAACAGATTAACCTCAATCTCATTGACTTCACACAATAAAATGTTTTCCTTAAGCAGCAGTCATCCATGCAAGTGGAATCACCTAGGAAGCTTTGAAAACTACGATTTCTGTGCCCCACCCCCAGACGTACTGATCTGATTGTTCTGGAGCAGGGTAGACATTGGAAAAAAAAAAAAAAAATTAAGCTTCTCCAAAATTCTAAATGAGGTTGAAATCCACCGAACCAAGGGATTGTAAGGACTTCCTCATCTGGCGTCTTCTCATTCAGACCTCTGGGTTAGCCTCTGAAGGGCTTCTCTGTACCAGAATTTTCTTGGATTATTGATCAATATAATGTAACGTTATTTCAAAAATCCAGAGAGAAAGATTTTGCAGAGTAAGGATTATTTAACCAAAGCTAGTCTCTAACTGCCAGTCTCCCAATCGACTCAGTGTCATGAGATGTACCCTCATAAGCCTGTCTTGTTGATTAGCACAGACGTTATCCTTTGTGTTACTCGGCCTGACAGTTTTCTATCATGTCAATGAGACCGGAGCACCACCTGCTATTTATTCATTAGCTATTGTTTTAAGCAGTAGAGGGTAGTGGTTAACAGTACTGGATCTAGAGTCACCCAGTTTGAAAACTGGATCCTCACCTACGAGCTGTGTGACCTTGGAAAAGTTGTTGCCTAACCTCTCTGCCTCAGTTGCCACATCTATAAAATGGGGAGAACAATCCTATTTCACCAAGAATTATGAGGATTAAACAGGTTAATCCACGGAGAAGTCTAACATAGTGAGAAGCACATAGTAAGTTTTCAACAAATGTTGGCTATTGTTATTTTTCTTACTTTCAAATGTAGGTCTCTGCTCTAAGCTGCTGGGGACACAGAAGATGAAGGCTAGCCCCTCTCTGCAAGGAATTCACAACTGGGCACAGGAGACAGACATATAAACCAGAGAATTATGATGGATATGACTGGGCTTTCGTAGAATGATGCGCAAAATGCTGGGAAGGTCTCCAAGATGATATTGGAGGAGCAGGACAGGAAGCCTTCTTGGAAGAGATGCCATTAGATCCGGGCCTCGAAGGGTAAGATGAGATCTGTAGACTCAGTTATTTGCTACTGAAGTGACCTGGAATAGGGGAGAGGATGGGTCAAAAACCCAACCAGTGGCATCTGCAAAGAGACATTTCTTTGTGGTAGAGTTTGCCACCATCCTCGTCCAAGTCAAGGACCCGGCCTTCTGCAACATCCCCTCCGTGCCTGGAACTGTGCCCATTTATGGGCATCCCTGCTTAAACTGCCTGATGGCAAGCTCAGACCTTTGCATTCAGGGGGAGAGGCCTGCAGTTTTCCATGGTATGGCTGCGTGAATGTTGGCAGGGCCTGGGGCCAGAAGTAGGCAGGACCAGAGGCGGACGGGCAGGGCCGCAGGAGGCAGGAGCTTTTTCTTGGGAGTTTCATAAGGCACCCAAAATTCCGGACCATGTCTCTGCCTCAGCGCCTTGAGGATATCCTGTCATTGAGCCAGACGTGTATACAGTTGAGAGTGGCCGATTTCACCACGACCCCTAGATTGGCCATTTTTCCTGTCTGGAGGCAGTTCTCACAGATCATCTGTTTCAATCCAGGAAAAGGAGAGGAAGAGATTTAAAAGCAAACGCTGAAATGAGAAAGAATTCACTGGGCGTTCATCAGACTAAGTTAATGTAGCTAAAGAGTCCTGACAGGTGCCTGACGTGGAGAAGCAGCAAGTGTTTCCTCACCATGCTACAGATTTTGATACTTCTTCTTCTTGGATTGGCGGCACAAAATCTCTGTTCCCTGCCTGAGACTGCAGAGCAGGTAAGAGGAAACTTGGGTTTTTTTTAAATGTGTTTACGTTCACGATTGTGTACATAAACTTTTTTGCTTTCCTACGTTGTCCTAGGTAAATGGTACTATCTGGACTTCACAAAGTAGAAAGCTTGTGGAGAATAGGATTCTAATGGGGATCTGTCCGAAGGGGTGCTAACCCAGTTCTATTCCTGCGTTCAAATGCCATTGTTGGGATCTCTGATTTAAGTGCTAACATCCCTCTATCCATTGTGGATATTGCTATCCTTTTTGTCGGTTTGCTTTAATGAATACCTCCCACTGCATCATTCTGAATGTAGAAAATAACAATGGCTGTAGAGAGCTGAGTAGAGAGGAGCTCTGGGGAATTCCAGGTTGGGTGGTAACTGATTGAGAAACACAGTGTCACCAAATGTGCCAGGAATCCGTCCATCTACCTACCGCGAGTTGAGCAGAAGTACCCAGGGCAGTCGAATGGCTAGTCCTCGTGAATGACGCCAGCGCTCCTGCCTGCCCAGCAGGCTCACGTGAGCTGTCATCCTATAGCAGGTTCAATACCAGTTCTGCAGCAAGTCCAGGCTAAAGGAGGGTATGTGAGGGACTCTCCTGGCAGTCCAGTGGTTAGGACTCCATGCTTCCACAGCAGGGGGCATGGGTTCAATCCCTGGGTGGGGAACTAAGATCCTGCATGCTGCACAGACAAAGCTAAAAATAAATAAAGCGGAGGTATGTGAGAGGCAATCTGAGTGATTTATTTAAAATGTATTTCACGAGATAGGATTTCTGCTCTATTAATAATAAAACATAACCATGATTCTGCATCTGTGCCAGGCAATTAGTTTTACATATGTATACACTCTTCTTTCATATTCCTTTCCATTATGGTTTATCACAAGATACTGAGCATAGGTCTCTGTGCCGTACAGTAGGACCTTGTGATTTATCCATTCTCTATAGAATAGTTTGCATCTGCCAACCCCAGGCTCCTAGTCCATCCCTCGCCTATCCCCCCACCCCCTTGGCAACCAAAATTCTGTTCCCTGTGTCTGTGAATCTGTTTTGTGCCAGACACATTTTTATCAACACCAATTTTACTCCAGTTGGCTATACTCTGATAAGGCTTTTCACTGAAACATTGGAAGATGGCATAAGGGTTAAGTGCTCCAGCTATGAGGTTAGATAGGGGCAAGTTTGAACTGGGGCTTCTCTTTGTTTAACAGCTATTTGAGGACCAGTCACTGCTCCATGGCTTACTGGCTGTTGAACCCTGAGCGTGTTACTTGGTCCCTCTAAGCCTCAGTTTCTCCCCATCCTTGCCCCACAGACAGCAGTAATTATCATCCACGTCACCACCATCATCATCGTTGTGGAGTGCTTGCTTGAGTACAAAGTCAGGCCTTGACTGATTTTACAGCTGAGTTTACTTTTTAGACGGGACTGTATGAGAGAGAGAATGAGCCTTTCCATTGGAAAAGGACAGTTTGAAGATCGAGGGGCTCCTTGAAGAGAGAGTATTCTGGCTTACTAAGAAAAGAGAAAGTACTGTCACCCCGTAAACTTGTCCAAATGGGAAACCCTAATGTAAAGAAAATCCTACTTAAAAGAAGTGTAGGTATGCCCTAACCATTCAAGGGAATCAATTCAAACAATATCTAAGAGTGGCTTTTATTATTTCACAAAGAACATTCTAGTGTTGTTTTGGTTCATAATGATCACCAAATGAAAGCTGCCAGTAAAAACAGATTTTGTTTTCTATACACCAC